AATAAGGTTAAAGCATAATGCACACTAATAGTTGGTTATCCTGCCTTATGTACATTTTACATAGATGCCTTTTTTATCAGGAAAAATGAAATTTCTACAGATGGTCTCATGAGACAGCTTACAGTTTGTTGCAGCTCTTTTTTTTTTTTAACTAGCTGTCCCTAGATGTGTGTGGTAACGTGTGTGTCTGCAAAGGTGTGGGCTATTTGTGACAATTTTCTGTATCCTGACTGAATCCAATACACAGATCCAGACTTCTCTTCATCACTACCAATGTGGAAACAAAACACACTGTGTTGATGGACTTTAAGGTCCAGTAGCTTCAACCAGAAAATCAGGCCCCTTCTTCTCCCTGCAGAGACAAATGAACATCAACCTAATCATTAACTTAACCCTGTCCAAAACCTGAACCTGAGGGAACATCTGTTTGATGGTTCTCAGGTATCAGAACGTTAAACATGGGATAGTTGTGTGGATGGATAGCCAGGGTGAGGCTAAGTTGGTGACACAGAGCAAATAAATGTTTAGCTGTCACCTAGTGCCCCATAGCTTACATTTCAAGAATGATTAAGGTATTTAAGTATGTAACCAAAAAACCAGTAGCATGTTGGTGTCATCCCTGAAGCCTCTCACCTTTCTGTAATGAGAAAAGACAGGAGAGAGGAACATGCTAATGTTCCAAGATGTTTCAGAACAACAACTAAATAAAAACCTTACTTGTTCTATGTCTGGACAATGAAAGGTGTCTTGTAGTTTGACTCCATTGTCATTATCTGAACAAAAACCACTGGCTGTTTCAGGCTGATTAAACTGAGGGAGATGCAGGCTTTGACCATGATTCTGCAAGCATTGCAGAGCTGCACTCCTTTAAATAGCTCAAGTAGAACTGGGTTGCCGTCCTGATTTACCAAAGGAGGAGGACTCATGGCCATATTTTTTTCCAACAGGAAGGCCCAAAAGGACTTACCTGCAACATAAAGAACCTTCATTAGAAAAGTTAATAGTGATTTTGTTCAGAATAAAACTTTTGGATAGAAAAATATTCAGTTATTGCTGGCAGAGTGGAGACAGTTACTCTTAAATATTTGCTAGGGCACTTATCCTCCTGGCACATCACAGCAACAAGGAAAGGCTTTTAATCTTTCACAGGAATTTAAAAATCACTAAAAGTTCATAATAAGCATGCAGGATGGGTGTTGCAGCCAGAATTATATATACAATCCCAAAATGGACTTGTTCTTATGGCATTTTGATTATGAGTTAGCTTTAACAAAAATATACTACTCTGGGTTTTTTCACAAGAGTTCTAACATGTGCTTTTCATGACAGAAGACTGAGTATGAAATTTCCCTTCAGCAGATGAGGGAATCTGCTCATGGCCTGGGGAGTTCATTCACTATTCCTGTTCTCACACTGTGTCCATGTGCTGACAACAGAGGTGGTCACATCTTGTTTTCCAAAGATGCATTCCTCTCATGGGAGCTCTGTCTCAGGATAATTTTTCTCCCACTTGATAATGATGAGCTCCTTCTTGTTGCCTTTCCCCTGTACCCAGTTTCCAGCCAATCCCCACGCAACTATTCTTAGCATAGTTCTGCCATGTATTTGCACACATGTGTGAGCTCCAAGATTCTTAACCCTCTTGTCTTCATCCATAACTTTTGGTGGATGTGTTGCAACCTATATTGTCAAGATCTAAGGCTCTGGTTTTGTAAAAAAAAGGGGCCATGGATTCAGCTTTGTTTCTCTCTGCAGAAAGACTGGCTGGGGCATTTTCTCCTGTGCCTCTTTCTTTTTCCCCTCCCCTTGTTTTCCCCCTCCCTTGTGGCTGCTGTCTTTGCAGAGTGGGGGTGAATGACTTTGAATGAGTATGGGAGAAGGCACAGACTTCTTTGTCAAAGGAGAATGTCTTCAAGCCAGAGCCCTGGTGTGAGGTTTTCTGCTGCAAACTTAACTTGACCTCTCCAAGACTTTGCTTCTAATCCACTGCTCTCACAGGTACAGCTGACCTGTTCATATTAGAACTGAAAACAAGACACTGATTTCTCATTTTAAAAGCTCATCCAATCTGACCAGCTTGGGGTTTGGAAGGAGCTCTGCCAGCAGCTCTGTCTTCAGCTCCAGTATGGGCATGTCTGCTGAGCACCAAGCCAGACACTTGGAAGAGAACATGTAAGCTTTGCTTATTTGCCTTTCCCTCACTTAATTACAGAGAGTCCTCCAGAGTTTTCTCCAAGGTTTTATGAAAATCATCTGGTAGAGCATCTAAAGATTTAATGTTGTAAACAAGTAAAAAAAATCTGCAGCTTAGAAGGCTAAATTTCAATTTTATTTATTTTACAATCTATAGAGTTTCACTGGTGACAGTGGCTTTGTACAGGTTATAAGTGCAAAAGAATGTGAGAAAGGCTTCATGCTCATCTTTGGCAAATGCTGTATCCCATCTGTTTGTCACTATTAGAACATTTCTTCATTGGCAGCTGAAAAACAAAATGTACAAAAGGATGCCATAAACTATTCCATACTATCATCAGTACAACCAAAGGCAAGCAGTCATTACTCTGATAGTGATGCAGCCTCTCACTTTGGAACTGTCAGAGGCCATGAACACAACACATTCAGTGACTAAATAGTCTACTCAGGGCACAGGAAATGGTGAAGTCTTTGGAAGAGGCACCAAGAGAAATGATGGCATGTCTTTACATTCTATTTAGAAAATAGTGTCTTGGGATACAAAATTCCTACTTTGTGGCTCCTCTTGTTATGTTGCCTGACATAAAAAACTTAAGGACTTTTTATATCAGGCAAAAAAATTAAAATCTCAAATAAGATACTGTATCTTTATATTGTACATCTGTTTTATCTTCTGATCTAGTTGAGATGAAATGAAATCAACCAGAACATTTTAAAATGACCTGTATTTGTACTATCTTCTCTGTGAGCCCTGAAGTGAAGCTCTGAAGAGGTTCTGAGCAGGCTTAAAGGGAATTACCTACAATTGGCATTTAGAAGGACTGCAAGATTCATATAACCTGTTTAAACGTGGGATATCTTTTTGCTGGTGAGTCATTTTCTGATAACAATATATAGATCTCTCTTTTCCATTTAAAGGATCCAGAATCCTTCCCTCAGTGACAAACACGTGCCAGAGATTTTAGCTAACTTTCAATTATTCTTAAAGATTATGGATGTAGTTATTTCAAAAACCAAACTACCCAGCTGCAGTTGCAAATTTTTATTTGCAATATTGGAAGCTGTATTAAAGTCTGGCTAAAAGCTAACTTCCAGCTTGGGTAACCATGCTTTGAAAATTGTCTCTAAATTCCTCATCTGTAGAGCTTTAACAAGCTCTTCAAGGGGGATGGGAACATGGATTTACAAAAGTGCAGAGCAAATACTGTGTTATGTATACAACAAACAGTTGTTTTGTGGTGTGTATAGGGTTAGTTCTGCTCATGGAAAAGAAGTCGTGATTCTTTGGCTGGAGAAGGAAATTCTTGATCTATATGTAGGCATGATGACCCTTTGTACCTCCATCTTATGACATATTTACTAACTCCTGTGGGAGACACAGTATGAGACCCTCACCTCTACCAGCAAACATAAAAGAAAATCTCATTCACTCAAGGGAAAGGTTCAGCACTAATCACAACATCTATGAACACACCTCTGTGGTGTTTGGGGTGTACAAGTTGAAATATATGTGCTAGGATGGCATCAAGCACCATGAGAGGCTGCTCAGCCTTCAGCAGTGCTGCCATCCAGCACGCTGTTAAAGCATGGCTGTCTTCCAGCACTGTGATATGCCAGAGGTGTCTAATGGCATTCACAGAGCTGGCCAGTGAGTTTACTGCACATAAATTACCTGTGGTATTCCAGGGGTGGCTGTACCCCACTCACTTCCCACGCAGGGAGTTTACCATATAGGCAAGTCTGAGTGCTGCTCTAACTGATTTCTAAGAGTATTTTGCAACCTGCCAAGTCATGGCAGCCCACTGTAGAAAAAGGACAAGGTGTAATGGGTAAAAATTGAAAGAGGGGAAATTTAAGTTAGATATTGGGAAGAAATTCTTTCATGTGAGGGTGGTGAGGCCCTGGCACAGGCTGCCCATAGAGGCCGTGGATAACCCAAAAGTGTTCAAGGCTAGGTTGGATGGAGCGTGGAGCAACCTGGTCTAGCAGAAGGTGGTACTTCCTCATGGCAGGGGGTATATGGGGATTTAGATTAGAGACTGAAAAAGTGTTTTCATTGTTGGGTGTCAGGCATGGGCTGCCCAGGGATGTGATGGAGTGACCATCCAAGGAGGTGTTGAAGAGGTGTCTGGCACAAGTGCTGGGCAATGTGGTTTAGGAGTTACAAAGGTAGTGCTGAGCAGATAGTGGACTCGATTATCTTGAAGGTCTCTTCTAATCGTGATGATTCTATTATCTCTTTAAGGTCCTTTCTGTGATTCTGTGATTGCTCACCGCCAGCCGCCCTGCCAGCGCACAGACACTCTCCAGAGCCGGCATCCCGAGGGCACAGCCTGTGACAGCACCTCGCGGTTACAGAGGACACACGGCTGTGTCTCTGTGGCTGCGGGATTAGTGCAGGCCCGTCTGAGCGCCTCGCAGCCGCTGCTCCGCTTTCCGCCGCCGAGGCCTTGCCGCCCGGGGCCTGCTCTCCGCATCACCGGGCCGCGGGAGCACCGGGGCGGCCCGGGCTGCTGCCAGGGAGCCCCGGGGGTGCCGGAGCCCGGCGCGGGGGCCGGGCCGGGCCGGGCAGGGGGTGTGGAGCGCCCGCCTCTCGCGGCTCGCAGCCGGGTGCCTCCCGCGGGCCGCGGGCGCGTACCCAGAGTGCAGCAGGCGGGCGGCGCGGCCGGACCCAGCGCCGGCACCCACGGCCGGCTCTCCCCCGGCGCGGCGGGAGCCGGGCCCAGGCGGCGGCGGCGGCGCGGCCCAGAATGCGACACTGAGATGCTTCTTCCCCCGGCAGCGGCGGCGCCCCGGGCCCAGGCGGCGGCGGCCCCCGCGTGGATGCGGCTCTGGAGCCGGCGCTTCGCCCTGCACAAACATTTCTATAGGACTCATTCGCCCTGCTGAGGAGATCGGCCCAGACCGGCCGCTTTCCCTCCCCTCCCTTTCCCCGCTGCCCCGGAGACCGCCGGCGCGGCCCGGCCCGCATGGAGGCCCCCGGCGGCGGCGCCTCGCCGCTGAGCCCCGCGCTGGTGGGGCGGCTCCGGCGGGAGCACGAGAAGGTAAAGGGGGCACCGGGGCCGGGCCGGGGGGCGCGGGGGGCCAGGGCCGGGCCCGGGGGGACCGGGGCGGGGAGGGCACGTGGCCGCGTGACGTCACGGGCGGCGGGCCAGGCGGGCCGGGGCAGCCAGAGACCCCCGGGCTGAGGACGCGGTCCTTGGGACACAGCCCCGGGACACAACCCTTTGGGACACAGGGGACATAGCCCCGGGACACAGCCCCCGAGACACAGCCCCCGGGACACCGCGGGGAGCGAGCTCGGGAGGCAGCAGGAGGGAAGGCCCTGCCCGCGCCCCGGTGCTGCCCCAGGCTGCCGTGGTTAGCAGCGCCCATGAACGCGTGTTTTGATCCTTTACACGAACGCGTGTTTTTATCCTCTGCACGCCTCTCCATGAACGCGTGTTTTTGTCCTCACACGCCTCTCCGTGATTTTTCGGGCCTCCGGGACAGTCACGCCTCCAAAACCTCCCGGCCGTGTCTGTGACCTGCGTCATGCCGGGGCCAGCGTGCTTCTGGGCCAGCTTGAGGAGACCGTGGGTCAAAACTTAGTTGTTCGAGTCTTGCCTTAGGAGTCATTGGTTGTATTTGAAATGGGTTTCAAAGAACCTTTTTTTTCTGCAGAAATTGTTCCCAAGAGTTCACCTGAGACCATAGCACAAAACTCAGGATACTTTTTCGTGTAGATTACACTCATGACCTAACTCAAGTGGGTCCTGAAAACCTAAGGAGCGCGATTTGGGGCTTGTAGATTCCAGCCTCGCAGTGACCTCCGTGTGGGTGCAGGAGTCACTGGAAATAACTTGTGGTCATGTGCAGGGTGTTGTTGACACAAGTACAGTCTGCGGACCTTTCACTTTTTCTGCTCATGCGATTAAAAATTTTTTAAGCAGATGGTAAGATGCACGTTAGAGTTCCTCAGTTATAATGGAAGATTTTATCTCCAGCCTGTATTTATTTTGCCACGTGCTGGTTTAGTTGAGAAAAAGTGAGTAACACCTGTGGGGTATAAAAATGTGCCTTGTCTGGAATATTGTGTGCACAAATGTGTTTACTTTTGAATACCCCTTAGATCATTACTAAAAGACCTGTGTAGCCATCTGACCATTAATGTGGATGAACAGTGAGAGGGTCTGCTGGAATCCTCTGCATCATCTGCCCTTCACGGATTGGAACCCATCCTGCCAATAACTGGTGATAGGAACTTGCCTGCTTGGGCTCCTTCAGGGAATTTTCAGGGTGGTGGAATCTGGTGAAGAATAATTTCCCTGGTACATTGGTGTCAGGCCTAATGTGTAAGCACACGTCTGCCATAGCCACAGAGAATTATTCCCAGTTCATGGTAAGACCCCTCTGTAAGCAAGTTTAAGACTCTTCTTAAACAGATCTGCTCCAGTGGAAAAGAGGCCCAGGAGACCATTAATTAAGCCTCTGTTAGGCTGATGTACCAAAGTTATATTTTATCATAGGGAAACTTTACATAATTTCTGCAAATTGGCTGAAAAAAAATGGAACACTTCAGCTTCAATATGAAATTATACTAAAGAACTACATATCTTGGTTACAATGGAGTGTCGTGATGAAGATACAGTAGACTTTCCCTCTATGCAATGAATATATATAATTGGATTACAACGGTATTTCCAGTTACAAAAATATTGTATTTTAAGATGGAGGAGGTCTTTTCATTTCTGCTGCCTCTTCTTAGAGATCTGTATTTTTCCCACAGAACCACTGAAGTTGAAGGCTCCTGCTTTGTCTCAGCACAAAGATGAAGGAGAATTACTTACCCAGTACTTCAGTAAACTAGTAATTGTAGTGTGAGGATCATGGAAAATAGTGAAGTTACTTAGCCAGAACAATATCTCTATATACTGGCAGGCAAATACATTTCTTTTAATTACTGGGATGTTGTGCTGTCCCAGTGATGCTTGATTAAGTCCAAGGAAACCTATTTATTCCCATTAATGTGAGGGCAACCTCTAGTGAAATCATGGAATACAGCAGTACCTATCTTCAGCATTAAAGATAATATTGGAATTGTGGTTGGTTATTTTAACACCCAGGCCATTGCACAACGCTGGTTCAGCTATAGGTTTGAGCTTTTAAGTGCTAAAGAGCTGACCTGGAGAAATTGTGAGCTGAGGCTTCCTTTCTGCTTAAAAATTCTGAAAGAAAAGGATGTCCATGACTTTCTGTCTTTAATCAGATAGAAGCTGCAACTTCTAGGTTTAGGACCCCTGGTGAAAAGTAATTTTAATTCTTGTTTAGGACTGCTTGCCTGTTGGACAGATTTCATCTTGTTAATTTGTGGTGATAGTAAGACCAAACTGTTAAAAGCAATTTTCAGTGCTCCTACTAAAGGCACTTTGTATAAAAACATGACTTAGAATGTGTATCTTGGGGATAAATTATAGAAGAATATCTAGTAATTTTCATGATAAAGACCATCATTGGAAGCACAATGCCTGCGTAAAGTTTTGAATATTTCTGTAAGAAGAGTATAATGTATGTGTCATGGATTACTTGTAAAAGCAATATATGTTAGCTGAAAGTACTGCAGTAAATCTATTGCAAGTTAGTAGAGGAATTGTAAAATGAATATTTAAATAGGAGGTTTCTCCTGCTATAGGCCCTGCGTTTAAACATAATATTTGATATACATTTATTCCTGCAATCAGGTGGGTTGGGATTACTAACTGATGGGAAGTTGACAAGTCAGATGTGTATGATTTGGAAAGACTTGTGTAGACAGTGAATTTGCAGTGGGATGATAGGTTCTGTAGTTCCTGAGCAGTGCAATGACAGTACGTGTAATGGGAGACATTACAGAGCCAATTAGACCCAAGAGACTTTTGCAGAGTGCAGACACAGGCATGGAGAATCTAAAGGATTCCACTATTAGATGGCAGTATGATTTTTTTTTTTGTATTGCACTGACAAACACACTTTTTTATTTTCCTTTTATAAAAATTAGGACAAGAAAGTGACTCTCCTGTCACTCACCATGACAGCAAAGCACAATTAGATTGAGTGCAGCTCTTACTGGAACTCATTGGCCATTGTGCATTATGACATATTCTTAATTTTTATGAATTTAAATGGTAGAGCTGTACAATCTTTAATTTCCAAATGATTTTCAAGATCCTGAGTACTTAAAGTCTTTTGACAGTTAAAAAAACTTGTAGGTGGGTTATGGAGAAGCAAATCACAGAATCCTAAGCTTACACTCCTTTAAATTGTTTCCTCTTCTACATGATTTACTTCTGGGGCTGACTGCTGCTGTTTGTCTTTTCCAAGTAATATCTGTGCTGTGAAATCAGCAACTGGGCAGTTTTAGAGCTGTTGCTGCAGTGTGAAAAGGAGCAGTGAAGCAGAGCAGGGTCTTGTTCACTTGATGCTGCTCAGGAGCCACTGGAGATCAGGAAGTGCTTGCCTGCACTCTCACAGATGAGACTCAGATGTGCTTCCCAGTGCAGTGTCTCCCATGGTCTGCACTTTTTCCAGCCTGAGTCCAAGTTCACACAATCCAGAGAATGCCTGGGTGTGAGCCACCAGTGCAGCAGGACTTCATTTTGCACAATAATTTTGAGAAAAGGGAACAGAGTTTCTAAAGCTTGGTTTGATGTGCTCCTTTTAAAAGAACCTGTGTGAAGCTTTATTTGCCCTGTTCCTTTTAAAAAGGTACCTGGACAATTACCTTTTTAGAAATTGTGGTGGCATACACTCCACCCTGTCCCTGGTTCCAGTAATGTTTTTTCAGGTGCTGCATTCAAGTAAAAGGGCTAATTCAGTCATGATCTGGAAGCTTTTTGTGGAATACTTATTGTTCCTCCAGTGTTACTTGATCATCACTTTTACTTTTTTAGTCAATATTTGTCCATGTTCTTATTAGTCTGAGTTAAATACTCACAAGCTTATATAGTGCCAAGAGCTGTGAAATAAATTAACAGATCTTCAGTAGGTTTTTAAATGGTAACTGTAGGAGATTTGACAAAAGAGTTTAAAGAGCTTTGCCTTTATTCTGAAGAGGGCAAGTCTGTGTTCAACCTCATTGGTAGCTAAAATGTGTAGATGAGATTTTATGCGCAAAATTGAAGTGTTACTGAATTGTGCTGCTCTTAGAGCTGTGTGCAGAGGCTGTGAGCAGATGCAGTGACCAGGGTGCCATTTGGGAATGGTGTTCAGTGGCTTTGCAGATCTCCATTCCATAGGTTCAGCTCGTAGCCTGTCTTCTCAGGTCTGTTTGGATGCTCCTTGTCTCAAGTACTTCTTTCATCCTTTGAGGTTGTGAAATCATCCTTTGTTTTAGTCTGAGCCTCCAGTGTTGCAGGTGGATCTGCTGGCTCATGGCTTACCTCTTTTTGCTCTCACAGCAGCAGGAACACTAAGGCTCTGTGTTTGTTTGGTTGCACTGGGACACTGCTGCACTGTGCAGGTGCTCCTTTTGTAGTTCTCCTGTCTGTTAGCACAGGCTGCAGCACAGGAGCAGCAGTCTCAGACCCTTGCTCAAAATTTTCATTAATGGTTTTGTGAGTTGTGCAGCTGACTTACATTTGAACAACTTGTTAATCTTTTTGTGTGTACTTTTTTCAGTTCTTTAGCAGTTTTAGGGTGGCACGTTTGTGACAGTGCTTAGTGAACTGGGCTGGGATCCAGCTTAAAACCAAACTTTATTGTTGACCTTTTTGCCCCTTTTTCTTCCTCCCTCTTTCCTGGACTATTTTTCATCCAGTGTGGATCCCTGATGTGGTTACAAATGCCTGTCAGCAGATCGTGTCAGCTTTGGGAGGATGAGGCAGTGGAGCTGAGTGGCAGGAGCCAGGGAGGGATGATGCTGAGTTTACTCAGGACTGTGGCTGAAAGCTGAACCACAGCCTGCAGCTATGTCTGTGAGGCAGGTGTCACAGCTCATGGCAGTTTAAAGCCAGTTAAGCTTAGGTTTTGCTAGCAGCATAGTTTTTGTACTATAAACTCCATCAGAGCTTGCAAAACCTGCTTGAGA